ACATTTGAGAGGGTGGGCTATCCTCGATCGCCGGTGCAAGTGTTGAACCAAACTTCCCACCAGGGTTTCGAAACAAGGTTATCAACTAAGGAGGAAATCAAGGAAGCTCTAAAAGACAAAGATATCGGCATAATTGGGATCTATGGCATGCCTGGAGTTGGTAAGACAACAATGGCAAAGGAAATAGTAAATGAAGTCAAAGATGAGAAATTATTTGACGAGACTGCATTTGCAGTTGTATCTAACGATCCAGACATAAACAAAATTCAAGATCAACTCGCTGAAGCACTTGGTCTAAAAATTGAAGAAAAGACAAATAAAGACGTGAGAGCTGGACGACTTCGTCAAAGACTTGAAGGTAATGATGGCAAGAGCATTCTTGTAATATTAGACGATGTGTGGACAGAAATTGATTTGGGAACTATAGGAATTCCATCTCCACGTGATCGCAGAGGGTTGAAAATTATGTTTACAACACGAATTGAAGAAACGTGTAGTAAAATGGAAGCCAAAGCATTCAAAATCGAAGTTTTGAGTGAAGTAGAAGGATGGCAACTTTTCACGGATAAGGCAGGGATTTCTGATGATGAAACTGATGTCGAACTCGTAAGCTTAGCCAAAGAAGTTGCAAAGGAATGTGGACGTCTACCTCTTGCATTAGAGGTTGTTGGCAGTACACTAAAAGGCAAAAAGACCGTATATGAATGGAAAGATGCACTTCGACGGCTAAAGAAGTCTAGTGCTACCAATATTGTGGACAAAAGTATAAGATTGAGCTATGACTATTTGGCAAATAATGAAGAGCAGAACTTGCTTTTGCTCTGTTCTCTATTCGCTGAAGATGAAAGTATTCCAATTGAAAATTTGGTTAGATATGCAAGGGGGTTAGAGTTGTTTGAAGAAACCGAGACACTCTGCGAAACTCGAGACGGAGCAAAGACAATTGCGGATAAACTAAAAGGTTGTAATTTATTGCAACCCGGTACGAGGAAAGACGAAGTGAAATTGCATGATGTTATCAGAGATTTTTGCTTACACATGGCAAAGAAAGAAAAACGTGGATATCTGGTGAATCATGCTGGTTTGAAAGAGTGGCCAGAACATGATGCTCCTGAATCGTGCAGTGCCATCTCAATTACATTTGATGAGCTGGATCAGCTTCCAACCGGGTTGAAATATCGGAACGTTAAGTTGTTACGGGTGATATGTCGCGAGTTGGGAGAATGTAACATTTCCGAA